CTCGATTCCCTAGCATGTGGCCAATTTTTAGGTCGATCCATCGGTGTAAATGGCATCGACGAGTACCTAACTTCTGACCATTTTCTGCATCTTTGCTTCCATTCTTTTCTCCTTTGGTTTTTAGCCTCCAAAGTACCTATAAATGACTCAAGGACTATGCAAATGTAATGAAATATAATCTAAAACTCTAAAACTCAACTTATTCTATATGAGACTTAAAATGATGAGAAATATGCAAAATGAAAGTATAATGACTATAAAAACTAAATAAAATGTATGATAAAGATGCCAAAATATGAATGCATCATTAATCCATAGAGATGATATATGCAGACGTATCAGTATTTGGTAGCTACGTATTGGGCTAATTTTAAATATATTTTAAATATATATATATATATAATGTTTTATTATAAAATATATTAAAACCAAACTAAATTTTTTAAATCATTATTTATATTTAAAATTATATTTAGATTTTTTTTTTTGTAAAAAGACATTTACTATTCAACCGATTTTTTTTATTTTATTAAAATAGACCTCCAAATTTTTGAAATCTTAACATTTGTTCTCATATTTAACTTTCTATTAGAAAAACCCAACTTTATTTTATTTTTTTGCTTTAGATCCACAAAATATCAGGGCGGACCCAGCGACGAAAAATGGCAAAGAAAAGAAAAATGGCCTCCTAGGGATTATATCAATCATCATGTAATTTGTTGTGAGACGTTTACTAGTTACAAGTTACAACATCATTCACTCACTATATATAGTTTTACAAAGGAGTTGGAGTATGATTAAACATGAGATGAGGCTTGAAGAGAGAGAAGTGAAGATGGAGAAGAACTAAAGCTGAAATTGGCACAAGTCTAGTAAAGGCTCTAGATGAATTAGAGTGTCTCAAGATCAATGGATAAGAAGGTCAATATTTTGGTAGGTGATTAATTGAAGACAGCCTCCATCTTTTCTCAAAATACAGAGGCAATTTGATCTTCTTCTACAATGTTTCTTCTGTGTTATTTTTCTATAGCGTTTATTCTGTGTGATAGGTTTAATCAAATCAGAAAAAGAATACAAAGATTAGCTATCTTACCAAATGGTATAAGAGAGATTAGGCTTAATCGAAACCAAACAAGATTAATTCCACTTTGGTCGGTTTTGTTGCAACCCTCGTGGATCTGTTTGCAACAATGTTGGACAGTTTGAGATTATGCTTGAAGAGAGAAGTGGAACCGGAGAAGAACTAAAGCTCAAAATGGCTCTCAAGTGACTCTAGCTGGACTAGAGTGTCTCAAGATCAATGGATACAAGGGGAAGAAGTACTGTCTCCATTATTTTGGTAGGTCATTGATAACTTAAAGTCTGTCTCCATTATTTTGATTGGTGATTGATAACTTAAAGACTGTACTATCTCTATCATATCTTNAAAAACAGAGGAAATTTGATCTTCTTCTACTGTGCTTCTTTTGTGTGATTATTATT